AAATTCAGAATAGGTCACCCGAAATAAAGACTCAGTGAGATGACGTTTGCAGTAATGCTTTCACAATTATGCATCCCCACACACATATATCACTGTGTGCAGCTTATATTTTATATCATAAAGAAAATTTATACAAAGAATTAAATAGCAATGTTAATCTGATTAATGGCGAAATCACTTCGCCAACAGAACTTAATGAGACATTGACTTACTATCAATTCCTTGAATAATAAGTTCCTTATATTCGAGTTGTAAGATGGAAGACACATACCAAGTACTTTCGACAATTTCAAACTGTCATCTTCATCACACGCTCTAAAACATATATTCAACTGTCAATAAATAGAAAAATTTAAAAAAGAAATAATTTTATTATTTTAAACGTTACTTTTTGTGGATACCTATATTTTCAGTTGACCCTCTGTCTTTTTTTAAAGCTGTGATTCAAAAGTAAATAGAACTTTACTTGATTGTGAAGCACTTCATAGCCGAGTGGTCAAGGCACTTGGAATCAAACGGCGGTTTCTCCTACAAAGTGGGTGTAGGTTTGAATCCTGCCGGAGGGAGAATTTTCTTTAATAAGATTTTTTGAATGTTCAGGACGGTAGATGAAACATAATACTGTGTAAAATAAACGGGTCGTCTACTGAAAGACAGGAATCCATTAAAAAACACGTTTTAAGTAATAAAAAATATATAACTGATTATAAAATAAAAATCCTTTAATACTTTAGAAATAGATATATGTGCACATCCGTTCGTCTGCGCTGCAATCGCAATCACACAGGTTATGCTTTGGTGAGTGCACAGAATATCTGCAAATTAACAGTGCAGGTTTCCGCTTATATATAGATTTCTAAGATTGAATTTCATAAGAAGTTTGCTATTTTTGATTAAGCAAAATACACACACTATATACAACACACACACATACACACACACATACACACAGACATATATATATATATATATATATATATATATACGCCAATATAGATACGCGTATAAAAATATAAATATAATATGATATGGTAAAAATATAGTTTTAAGGCATACTATATTTGTGAAATAAATTTACCGATATCAGGGATAGAGCGTATGTATCAGGTCATCCAATAAGTTCTGTCCGAATTTTGAATAAAGAAAACAAGTGACCAAACGTTACATTTAATTACAGATTCGATCAACAATGTATTTTCCCTGATTATCTATGACTTCCTTCCATCTATTAACAAGCTTACTAATTCCATTACTGTAAAATTCTTTTGGCTTTGATTCGAAGAACTCACAAATGTCAGTTTTAATCTCTTCCTGTGTTACAAAAGCTGTTTCTTCCAAATGATTCTGTAAGCTACGAAACAAATGGTAGTCTGAAGGAGCAAGATCGGGAGAATAAGCTGGATGAGGAATTTTCTTCCAACCAAGTTCTTCGATCTTTTGTGACGTGATTCTTGCTGTGTGGGGTCGCGCATTGTCCTGATGAAACTTCACCTCTTTTCGATTCACTAGAGCAGGTCTTTTTTTCCTCAAAGCTTGGTTCAAACGCTCTAATTGCTGACAGTATATTTGAGCATTAATTGTTGCATTAGGTGGTAAGAACTCAACTTGGATTATTCCTTGGTGATCCCACCAGATGGAAAGAAAAACCTTTTGACCATGAAGTTCCATTCTCGGCTGTGGCCGGGGTCCTTCCCCTTTACCAAGCCCCTGTCTACGACGCTTAACATTTCGATAAAGGATCCATTTTTCGTCGCCAGTCACAAGTCTATCCAAAAAAGGTGAAACAAGTTGGTGAAAATGGAGAGAAGAGCAGATGCCAACTCGGGATATGAGGTTGTTTTCAGAAATTTCATGAGGCATCCATTTTCCAAGTTTAGGAACTTTGCCAAGTTGTTGAAGATGACGATGAACAGTTGTATGGTTTGAACTGAGAACCACTGCCAATTCCTCAACTGATAAAGCAGGATTTTCTTCAAGGGCTGCTTCAAGAAGCTTTTCATCAAACTCAACTGTACGTCCGGTTCGATCTTCATCTTCAAGGGTGAAATCTCCACCTCTGAATTTTGCAAACCATCTTCTGCAAATTCTTTCATTCACACATTCCTCTCCATAAACTGTGTGAATGTTTCTAGTTGCTTCGGCTGCTGAGTTTCCTTTCTTGAACTCATAAAGCATTATGTGCCTCAAATGATTCTTGGGTACTTCCATGTTAGCAGGGTTTTAATCAAACAAAATTTAATTTTATTGTTCTCTGAAATAAAATTTGATCAGTTTAAATGCATCATAAAAATAATGTTCAGCTACATTAGACATTATAAAATACTCTTTAAATTTCGTTCATTTTAAAAAAAGTTAAAATTCGGACAGAACTTATGAGATGACCTGATAAATAAAAATATGGACATCTATGGACTAATTTTAGTGTTTGAGCCTTTTATATTATATTACACTGTCTTGAACATTGTGTTTTACCTGGATTTTCACCTCATGGGAATTTTATATATATATATATATATATATATATATATATATATATATATATATATATATAATAATAATAATAATAATGGCATCAATGATATATATAGATAATAGTCCGAATAATGTAAATAGTGTACATAATACCTCATCTCAGAAATATAGACAGATACTGAAAGGCCGAAACGTTGTAATAAATATAGCGACAGAGATGAGGATAATAGTCCGAATAATGTAAATAGTGTACATAATACCTCATCTCAGAAATATAGACAGATACTAAAAGGCCGAAACGTTGTGATAGTCCGAACAATGTAAATAGTGTTCTCTCATGGAAAGTAATGTAGTCGGTGCAATCATGTTTCGGGAAAGGTTTACGTTGTTTGAAAATTGATTTTTTTGCTAAATGGCAGAAAATGTTGTAGGCCATAAAATTCATTAATTAGAGAAACATTGATAGAAGAACCAATTAAAAAAAGTCGTTGATATAAACCTGTCAACAAGTATGAATGATACAGAAAGGATTGTTTTCTGCGCAAGAATTTTTTGCTAAACAATAACGTCTTCCTCTTGTTACAAACGCGTTGCATTCTTCCGACGTGTCATTTTTCGGTTCGGTATTCGGCCAACGCTTCTCTCAACGTGAATATTCAACGAAGCCTTAATTAGACTGTCTTGCCTTTGTGGGTGCCAAATTATTCTCTTTCGTACAACCTCTCTCCCGCAGGCGGAATGTAAAAAACCTCTCGCTGCACTCGGACATTCCCTGGTCCCGCCAATTCAAACCTTCACGGCAAGGACATACCACGGCACTTGCATAATGGCAAACCACTCACATTCCCTCCGCATTCTATCGTTGACAAGTAAGTTCCACTCGAACAGCTTCTTCCAATGAACCCCTGCTCTGTGGAATTGACTCCAAAGAGGGTGTTTTCCCGGTCACTACAATCTTAACTTGTTCAAGGCGAGGGTTAGCCGTTATCTTCCACCGCTATTCGCAAATATTACCTTCTAACATAACCCTCTACCTCGAGTGGCACCTGGGTCTTGTACAGGACGAACCTTACTGTAAAACCCGAAATCATTCTTTTATGGACGAATACACAATTTCGGCGAAAACTATCGCTTAATGATATACATTCAGGTAACATACTTTGAGGATTACATAATGTTGCTATGGATTTAAATTTAATGTTGCTATGGATTTAAATGGATACAGGATTATGTCGGGAAATACTGCGAGAGATTTTGAATTAGTCTAAGAAGCTTAAAAATATTTCGATGAAAGTTGTTGGTTTTTAATCATTTCCCCATGAACAAAGCCACTAAGACGCAAGGTGTTACTGAGTATAAGAGAATATGAGAAAAAGAAAACAACATTCAGGAGATAGAACATTAAAAGGACAAGGATTAAGATGACAGAAAATAACGATTGACATTGCATTTAAATTTTTTGCAAGATTAAAGTTGACTCGAAAGTAAGACAAGCGGGACATGCGAAATAAACAAGTAGCATAAAAATTACAGTTAGTTTTAGCCATTTCAACTGAAAAATAATGAGACCGTACCGCCAATCTAGTACTGCGTTTAAATTTATAAAGTCAAGTTGCCATAGAAGAAAGTAATCTTTATTTTGTTGTAATATAAAAATGTGGCACAAGGCCAAAAGGAGGGAGTGAGTAAGGCTGGGTTATATCTGTCATATAACGAAACCTACGTAACCACAATTACTGACGCAAATATACCACAGCATTCCTCACACCAACACACCACATTCTTACATATCATTCTTACTCAGTAAGTTATGTGCCATATGTGATACACGCTTAGGCGATCATGTATCTTTCGATATATGACTGACTAGGCAGATTTTTCCCGCAGTAGGTTGCCATTTCTTTCTTTCCAAGGCTATAGAACCCGGTCTGTCCTGCTATTTGCCTATAGCTTGTGGGAGAAGAAGAGGATTCGTACCTTTCCCAATGGTATTAACACGTAAGTGAATGTAATGGATTCAACTGGAATTCGAACTCCGAGCCGATATTCATTAATCCACAGCTACCATAATACCTTAAAGTCTCTATGAAGTCCTAATTCGTCCCCATATGTACATTTTTTGTCTTTGGGAAAGTTCGTCAGAAAAATTATCATGAAAGTCTTTATAGAAAAGACACAGGGAGCTTACGGCAGTGGGGAAAGTACTGAAGCCGATATGCCAGATCAGGACCGATATCATCGCAGATTCATTTTTGTATTTCATCAAGAATCTCTGAATAAATGGCAGAAACACCAGACCCGAGATGGCAGCAATATTAAATGCATGAATGATCAATATAAATAAATAAGAATGACTTTTAAATATGCAAGCCTGATTCTGGTGAGAAAATTTGTCTAGCATAAAAATAAGGTCATTGAAGAGAAAATACATCGATGGTTGGATAATGTTGTACTCAGTTTATAGGAATAAAAGTCTTTGACAAAAGCATAAGCTAGAATCTTTTGCCTCAACCCAATACGTTTTGAATATGCATATCCTATGCATCTGTAGTATACTTCTTTTTCTTTCATGCTCAATTAAACAAAGAATGTGCGAGAATGATATGTTTCCACAAACGGCAATTCTTCCTGGCAAAATGTATTTCTTCATGCTTGCCAAGCCAAGTAAAACTTTTCCGATATTAATACCTCCCCCTCCCCAGATCACAAGCTGCATTCCAATCGAAATTTCACTCCCCGATAAACGTGCTAAGCGTATAATTGATTTTAGACATGAAGTGTTTTTTTTTTGTTTTTTGTTTTTCATTCTGCCCACGACACAAAAAAAATTCAACCTTCTCTACTCACTGCCTGGATTAATTGGAAATATACACAACCATTATATATTCTTTCCTTGTTACACTTGCTGCTTGCTTTCTCGACACTCGTTACTCGATATCTGTGCTTACCTGTGCGCTGACATAACCAATTTTCAGGTGGGTCGGGCCAATAGATTTACGTAAAGGTTAGGCTCTCATCATTCGACAAGGTACTGTCCTATTTTTTTTTTTTACTTGTAAATGAGAAATTAATCCCCGCTTAAATCATCAGGACTCTCATTTGCGTTAATGCACGTGGCTGTGTAGTGGTTAACGAGCAAGCCTTTTGCAGGAATTTGGATTTTCGTCAGACGTTTCGAAACATAACCTTTCCTCATTCTGAAGTACTAAAGTGCATCCAGCAGAAGACTCAGGAGCCACTCAAATTAGAGTTAAAATATTCCTGATGAATGACATATATGAGATGAAGGAGAGAGATTTTAAGAAGAGGAGAATACAAGGTTAACGATTGACATTTAACTTGAAGAGATTAAGTTTATAATGTTCAGGAAAGCATTCACATGGGAGTATATTTAACAAAGTATCTGTTCTTAGGAAAAGCTGTCTGAGTGAAAATATCCACATGCATTTAGCATACGGGAGAAATGAGGATGAATTGACTCCGTAGATGCGCCATGGCATATCCTAGCTATAAATATCTTAACTGGTTGTACTAAAAAATGGAGATCATCTGAACACATACCATGGAAATAGTGATAGAGTAGCGAAAAGCTTGCAGTGTTTCGCCTATAGGATAGAGGCTGTGGATTGGAAAATAGGTCTTCCTTCTCAAGACTGATTGAATGTCTTCGCTGTAAAGGTCTGAATTGATGGAAATGAAGAATGTACCTCATGGGAACATTTGCCTTGAAAGTATCGATACTGTAGTGATAGACATGCGATGTTCCACTTGTGAGAAAAGAGGTTGTAGAGTGGAGAATCCTGAACTGTTGGATCTAAAGCATAATGGAGTAAAAGAGGCTCATCTGAACATCTACCATTGAAATAGCGATAGAGTATGGAATGGTCTGCAATGTATTGCCTGTGAAAGAGGATGCAGATTGGCGAATAACTCTTCTTTCCCAAGACTGCATAAATGTCCTAGCTGCATATGTCTGAACTGGTGGGGCTGTAGGATGGAATTAATCTGAACATTTGCCATGGAAATAGCGATAGATTAACGAAAGGCTTGTACAGACACGGCTATAGGAAAAGATCTGTAGACTAGCGGATAACTCCTCTCTCCCAAGACTGTGTAAATGTCCTAGCTGTAAAGATCTGAAATGGCGGGACTGTAGAATGGAATTAATCTGAACATTTGCTATGGAAATAGCGATGGGATAGCGATGTCTGCAATGTATCGCCTATTTGAAAGAGGCTGCAGATTGGCGAATAACTCTTCTCTCCCAAAACTATGTAAATGTCCGAGCTGTAAAAGTCTGAAATGGCGGGACTGTAGAATGGAATTAATCTTAACACTTGCCATGGAAATAGCGATAGAGTAGCGAAAGGCTTGCAGTGTTTCGCCTATAGGATAGAGGCTAAGGATTGGAGAATAAGTCTTCCTTCGCAAGACTGCGTAAATGTCTTAGCTGTAAAGGTCTGAGTTGGTGGAACTGAAGAATGAATTTAATGGGAACATTTACCTTGAAAGTAACGATAGTGAAACAATAATCATGCGATGTTACACCTGGGAGGGACAAGGATGTAGAGTGGAGAATAAGTCTTTCCTCACAAGACTGTGTAAATATCCTAGATGTGAAGGTCTGAACTGGTTGAACTAAAGAATTGAGATCATCTGAACATTTGATATAAAAATAGCGAGAGAGTAATGAAAGGCTTGCTCTGTTGCACCTATGGGAAAGAAGCTGCAGATTAGAGAATAAATTTTCCCTCCCAAGACTGTGTAAATGTCTAAACTGAGAGAACAGAAGAATGTAGATTATCTGAACATTTTCCATGGAAATGGCGATAGAGTTGCAACGTTTACGTAGTGAAGAATAAGGAATTTCCCACAGGACAGTGTGAACGATTTCGAACCGTATGAAGGCTAGAAAGTAAGGATTAAGAAGCTCTTGTCCAGATATTCAGTAATACTCAATTTATGATCAAATCAGCCTCTTATGAATATAAGGCAGACACTTCCGAGAGCGTTATAATGAGCCAGAATATTTTCCCACTATATTTAGCAATAGATCGCATATCTGTTTCAGTTGGGGTCTGGAGTGAATCCAACAGACATTCAAAAGAAGAATGACCTTTGAGCTCAGTAGATGTTCATAATAACCAGTAAATGTTATTAGACCTCAAGACATTAGTGGATTATGGAAAAAGAGTAAGAAGATTGTGTTGTGACAGTCTTCTAAGTAGAGAATGACTGACTGCTTGAAAAATCAGCATTCGAATTCCCTGCTTGTACTTACTCTCGAACCGCACTTGTTTTTTACGCCATTGTTCACTCAATGCAAGACTCTAGAACCACTCAAGGGGCGGTTTACTGAACGGGATTGTTTTATGGACATAAGAATTTTAAAGTATGATATGTAGAATAGATAACCATTGGCCCTAGGTCTGATTACCGTAATTTCTCGAAAATAATACGCACCCATAAATAATACGCACCCCCAACAAATGACCCCAAAAATTAAGAAATATATCTATCCCTATGTATAATACGCATCTATAAATTTTCTCAAAAAATAATTACGAAGACATTTTGTCGACTTTGATATTAAGAATAAAATCGAAACTAAGCGGCTAAAATAATGCTGAAAATTACCAGCGGTTTTCTCGATAAATATAACATTTTCTTTTACCACCAAAATGTCACCAAAATTTGCGAGTTATGGTGCAAATTTTAACCAAAAAGTAATAGAATTAGCAAAAGGATTGGAAACAGAGCTGCAGTTAGAGAATATGAGTTGAATGAGGCTAACATACGTTTATGGAGAAAGAATAAAAATGAACTAAAAAAGTGTAAATCAAGTTCCAAAGCTATAGGTAGAAGAAGAAAAGCTTAATGTCCAGATATGGAACAAAGTTTAGTTGAATTTGTGAAAGAAAGACGATCAAATGGATGTTCCATAAGTCCTGTGGAAATAAGGATGAAGACAAAAGAACTTATGAAAACCATGTATCATGGAAACACATTTAAAGCTTCAATAAACTGGTCTTTTCTTTTTATGTGGAGGTTTGATATATATCTATGAGGAGGAGAACATCCATATCCCAGCGTTTGCCTGATGACTACGAAGATAAACTTTTGAATTTTTAGCGTTTTGTTATTCAGCTAAGAAAAAAGTACGTATTTATTATTATAAATCAATAACGAAAAAATTATTTTTGTTTAAACCTATTTATAATACGCGCCCCTACTATCACCTGTAATATACAGTAAAAAGAAATGCGTATTATTTTCGAGAAATTACGGTAGATTAAGGTTGTAGCGAACGGGGAAGCATACTCTTGGGAGTCTGTCCACAACGACCCGTCTCTTCAGAATTTTTTCAAATGAAACTTATTACCAATGCAATAGGAAAGGGATGAAGATGTTTCACCCACAGCATATCAATTTCTAGGTGTGAAGGTCTAAACTAGTAGGATTTTTTATACTAATGTTCGCCTAATACAAGGCCCAAGGGCCACTCAAAGTAGAGGGTTACTGTGTGGAGTTAAATTAGCGTAAGAAAGGGCAAGATACCAGGAAAGTTAGACAGCTAATTCTAGACGTGAAGAGGTTAACATTTAATTAGGGAATAACATTTCAGAGGTCAGACAGAGACGTTAGGCGTATAGAATTGAAGTAGAATTTAGGAGCAACCCGAGACCCAATCCTAAACCGAAAACAAGGGATGAACCTCTACTCCTGTTCAAATGACTGAGGAGTGGACGAAGAAGGCGCGTTGGGTCTGCGACGTTTGAGTCTGTTTGAAAGGGGTTGTAATTCATCGACAAGGCAGTGTCAGTGAAAAATACGCGACCACTTTAGCTACGTAGCAGGCCTATGCTTATTTCTAAGCTTAGTTAAGTACAGTGAAAGCTCAGCGGAGTGAAAATTGAGCAGGTTGGGGGAAGATTGTATAACAACAATCTTCTAAGATAAGAGTAAGGTGTTCTGAAAATTAACATTCCAGAAAGTGGAGTTTACCTGGGATTGATCTCCGCCCACTGGACAGCTGGGAAGTGTGTAGCTATTCCTGTTATTATTGCGTCATATTACTTACCAAGTGTTTACTCAGTTTGGCCTAGGGCCATCATAACCTTCTCAGAATCAAATTCTTGAATATTCAGTAAGACGAGCTTGTTAACCGGTGCATTACGTTTTTTTTTCTTTCTTTTCTTTATTTCTTTCTTCAAATGCCGATTATTTTCTTTCTTCCTTGGTATAATTTAGGTTCTATATTTGATTCTTTCTTTCTTTCTTTCTTTCTATCTTTCTTTCTTTCTTTCTTTCTTTCTTTCTTTCTTACAAGTTATGTTTTCTTAGTTTTCTTGTGATCCTTTCTTATCGTTTCGTTTCAGTTCATTTTCTTTCTTTCTTTCATCAATTCAGACTCTTTTTTCTTTCTTTCTTACAAATTAACTTTTCTTGTGATCGTTTCGCTTCATTTCATTTTTCTTTCTTTCATTCTTTTACTGCTTTTCTTTCTCTCTTTCTTTCTTTCATCGATTCAGATACTTTTTTTCCTTTCTTATACGTCATATTTTCTTAGATTTCTTGCGATCTTTTCGTTTCGTTTCATTTCTTTCTTTCTTTGTACTGTTTCTTTTTCTTTCTTTCTTTCTTTATTTCTTTCATTCTTTCTTTTTCTTTCTTTCTTTCTTTCACCAATTCTTTTTTTCTTTCATCGATTCAGATTCTTTCTTTCTTTCTTTGTTTCTTTTTTCATCGATTAAGATTCTTTCTTTCTTTTTTCTTTCTTTCTTTCATTCATCAATTCTTCATTTCTTTCATCGATTCATAATCTTTCTTGCATTCTTTCTTTCATCGATTCAGATCCTTTGTTTGTTTGTTTTTTGCATTCATTCATTCATTCATTCATTCTTTCTTTCTTTCTTTCTTTCTTTCTTTTTTCTTTCATCGATTCTCGTTCATCCTTTCTTTCATTCATCGATTCAGATTCTTTCTTTCTTTATTTCTTTCTTTCATTTTCAATTTACAATTTTTCAATTACATATTTTTGGATTCCGTTTTCTCTTACATTTATTTTTCTCGCAATATGTTCTTTTTTGATTTTACAAATATGGCAGTATTACTCCGGTCAGCCTATAATATGACTCGGATCAATTGCAAATCTAACGCCCTGCCCAGTCGTGGCGCTGAGGCAAATGACATCTGTTGACAGAAATGGTTTCTTATTGCCATATCGGATTCACGCGCGCGCGCACACACACACGCACACACACACACACACACACACACACACACACACACACACACACACACACACACACGCACACGAAAAAGCATATGGTAGAACAAAAGTATACACTTAATAAAATGTCTTCAACACAGAAAAGTCAGAACACTAATATTTGCGCCTAGCAACATTAACAGAATATGTACACAGATATGAAAAAGACGATTCGTGGCCGAGTAAGACCGACTCTATCTCATAACATATAAACCCCAAACGGACATTTAAGAATGATTTCCATGTTCATGATATTTTTCATCATTTCACCCCAATCAGGGTGATAATGCCACTAAGACGCAAAAGGTTACTGAGAGTGAAAGAGTAAGAAGATTTTGTTCAAGAGAAAGTCAATAAAAGAACATGTTTCAGATAGATAGAAGGCGGCTATTGGCGTTGCATTTGTGGGTTGAAGGTAGAAGGGAGGTAAAAAAATCAGATGGGAATTCCACAGGCAAGAAGTGCGAGAAAAGACACTATTCGATATCTTGTTAGTTCAACTGTAAAGCCGTGAGACCGAGTTGCCAATCTAGTTGCACTCTTGAATTCATGCAGTCGAAATATCAAGGAGGAAAGTTCATCAGAACAATTACCATAAAAATATTTGTAGAAAAGACAGAGGGAAGCCTTGTCACAACGGTGGGAACATGACTGAAGTCGACTTGTCAGGTTGAAAACAAATACATTTGAGACCCTTATTTAGATTTTGCCATGAATCTCGAGATATACCTGACCAGATATGGTAGCAATTTTCACTGCACGGACGAATGGTAGAATTATAAAGGTGCAAGACGTTTTCTGGTGACAAAAAATTGACTAGAACGACACAGTGAACAAACTTCCCAGCAGCAGTAATTGATTCATTCATAATCACTCCACTGCATGTCAGTGGAAAACTTGCTACCAGGAAGGTGTAATGAGTTGCTTTCCTGTAGGATAGCATCATTCATGCTGAGGAAGAGCACAAATAGTTCGTGATTAAATGACAGCAGTTTTGTTTTGGAATCCATTTCTTGCCCCGGTTAACAACTGACTAGAGGTCATTTTCGATGATATCTTAAATTGCTCGTAAGATATGCAAGTGAATTGGAAGCCAATCCACATTGAGTAAAGGCAAGACTTCCGATAACAATCTGATTATCTGGACGTTTTGTTTCATGATTCCGAGTGAGACAACCGACTGATCTACACACATGGTCACAAATACTTCACGAAACGTTTTGCTGGGCATCCCATTGTTAGATGGGAGTCTTTCTCTGTCCACGTTTGTGGCTGAGAAGGCCTGCCCGTGAGAAGCAGATACGGTCACATTCATATATACGTATACACCCTTGTGCAAATTAATTGAAACAAAACGAATAATTCCGTTATTATTTACTTTTTTCGTATTTTCCAATGAAACATGACCCAGTGCATACGTTAGTACTTCGTATGTCCATACCAGTAAGTATTTCCAGGTTCTCGATTGGATTTAAATCAGGAGAGTTTCCAAGCCAGTCGATAGTACTTTGATTTGCTCACTGGTAAACATTGCCATTCTGTTCGTGCAGAGTTAAATTTTCGTACGCTTCCTTATAATAACGTTAATCGGAGACAATGGCCGTATGACAACTAATCGACAGTCTAGACAATAGTGTTTGGGCGTGATAAAAATATCATGTAATCACGGATGATGCCATATTTTTCAAGGCCAAAATATTTCATCATGCACCCTGAAAATAAATTCATATTAATGCACGCCACTGCAAATGGTCTAATCTGAGGAAATAATAGAAATTGATTACACTCTGTCGCACCAGTGGATCTAAAAGTGGCCGTATTTCGAAAGAAAGGAAACTAAAGTGGTGTATATTCGGAGATACAAATATTAGAAAATTTACTGCAGTAAAGGAAAACAAGAAGAAAGGATTAACTGTAATATATAAGAATGCAGAATTAATGTTGCATAGTAAGAGGAAGCGTGCAAGATGCAATCTGTGAATTAAAGATGGTGGAATTGAGCAAGTACCGACATTTAGCCATTTAGACAAGAAGCATTACAGATGGACATGGAAACAAATATGAAAAAATATTTTTTCAGGGATGCTGTTCTGTGACCTACTGATTCAAAAAGATCCGTAAAAGTCCGTCGTGAACTAAATGTTCGAAAGCCCAAAATCCAAGATTTCCGCTTCTGCCGAAACGACATATATATCTTTTTAATTATTAAGCTCACAAACCTGTGTAATACCTCTTTTCCAACTAATTTGATGATGAGAAATCCATTTATGACCTTATTTTTAAGTTATAAGGACAACCTGATCTAAAAAGTCTTGGTTAAAATTCAAAAATTGATTCCTAATATTTGCGACTCGCGACTGCCTGGGTGGAAAAACCTTGATGAATCCATAAAAGTGCACGAAATGCGTCTGAATCACTTTTCCTCACCTGAGGGTCTTCTTATAGAGCGTTTGACTACCCAGGTGTCTCAGATAATCGATGATCGACAAGAGGAACTATCTCTATTCAGCTCTGGATAAGAATGCTCTCATCGTTGACGATAATGAAGATAATTTGGAATGGCAGAACAACCACATACACAGGATTTAACTGCTTGTACAATTTCAGCAGCGCTTCAACAAGATCGCAGAAAAGCAGCTGCTGCACCCTGTTTGTATAGATTCACCAGACAGCAAAGCAAAGATTGTCTTAAGATATCCATTCTACCTAGTAAAATGGCGTATTCTTTATACTGTTTAAGTTAGTAATCTAGGGTTTTTTAGGTTAAATTGTCTTTATATCTTAAATAATAAGGGAATACTTGAATTTCTCATCATCAAATTAGTTGGAAAAGAGGTATTACACAGGTTTGTGAGCTGAACGATTAAAAAGTGATATGTCGCCTCTGCCGAGGCGGCCATCTTTGATTGTGGGGTCCCAAACATTTAGCTCACTAGAGCCTTTTGGGGCCGTCATGGATTTTGAATCAGTCGGTCACAGAAGAACATCCCTGAAAGAAAAACAGCTTTCTATATTTTTTCCATGTTACTGCATTCATTTTACTAATGCATCTGGTTTAATCGTCAGGGAAAGTAAGGCCTTACTTTCCCTGACGATCCGTTTAGGTGAAACCTAGGTAGGTTTGTCTGGCTCACTAGGTGTATCTCTCTCTCTCTTTTCTCTCTCTCTCTCTCTCTCTATATATATATATATATATATATAAAAAGAAAGAACAGTAAGATATAAAATCTGGTGTTCTTATGATATTTTATTTTACAAAATAGTGTCAATGTAAACAGAGCATTAATATTATAAAAACATTTATATGGATTTAAAAATAACTATGTTTCAAAAATAGAAGCTAAAAAATTTTATTTTACCAAAATAAATTAAAAGCATTAGTTCTATTTCATCTTCAAGTGAATTTTGGAGATAACTTTTAAAATTTAAAAGTTTTGACACATTAAAAATCACGTTTCCATGGTTACAGAATATTCTACTCAAATTGAACACGGGTGTCTAGATTTTCCATATGACAGTATCATTGTATCAGTTATTAGCTACATTTTGGTAAGGGGTGACGATGTATTTTACACTGAAACCTGACGTCGGTTGAATGGATGTCGTTCGATTTAAAAAAAAAAAAAAAAAAAATTGTTAACGGTAAAAATTTTAAAATCTTTGTTTTTTTTTTTTTTTTTTTTTTTTTCAATACTTTTTTATTTAACTACGATTTATATTTTTTTTTAATTTTGATTTTACTATATTCATTTTAACTCAGTTAAAATTTAGAATTCATTATAAAGGATTATTTTAAATTAAGTTTAAGTATGTATATGAGGTTACATTTTTTTTTTTTTATATATGACTATGACAGCAGAAATGGTTATATAATTTATATTCATATATTTTTTTATATATAAATATTATTATATATTTCATATATATATATGGGTCATTCAAAATACATGTTATGGTATTTCATATTAATTTTATTTTACTATAGGTGTTTTTTTTGGATTCTTTTTAATGCGTGTAGTATTAGTAGAAATTTAGGTTAGAATTAATTCAATTTAAATAAATTTTATTACAAATTCAAAATTACAACTTTAAAATTTTAAAATATTTTCATTGTTTAGTGTTTTAATAGAAATATACTTTATAACAGGGTTCTCATATTAAGTAAGATTATTTTCCATATCAAAGTATATGTTTATTTATTTATTTATTTATTTATTAATTTTTTTTTTTTTTTTTTTTTTTTTTTTCCTTTAAATTTAAAATATTTAAGTAATATTAATGGAACTTCTAAAAAGTCCATATCATTTCTCAGATTTAGTTTTTTTTATTTATTAATTAATTAAATTTATTTCAAATATATGAAATCTAATTAATAAAGTTTCATATGTATGTATAAATAACATGGAATTCATTTTATTTTACTACAATTTTAATTTCAATTTTAAAATTTTAAAATAACGCGATAAAATTAAAATTTTAAACTATATTAATGAATTTTAATTTAGAAAGATTTTTTTTATAAAGAAGGATAATTTATTTTATGTAAACTAAATTTTTTATCAAAGATAATAAATTGAATTTTAAACTTTTTATTTAGATATTATTTAAAATATTTTACTGTATCTAAGTCATTTCTCAGAATTAAAACTTAATTTTAATTCAAGTTTAAATATGTATATTAGGTTACATTTTTTTTTTTTTTTTTATAAACTATTTAAACCTTTATAATTTTATTAAAAAAAAATATGGGTCATTCAAAAAAATATAATATTAAT